TGATACCGGCCAGCAGTATCCATCTCAGATGGACTGCCTGCAGATGTTCGTCAACACGTGAGAAAAACATACACAGAGACAACCAGGTCCTGTGGGGGAATAGGAACAGCAGGGCCACTCCTCACGTGGGGAGCGCCTTGGCCACCCTCTCTCCTGGAGGGCGCCATGGCCACTCCTCCCATGGGGAGCACGCCGCTTGGCCACCCTCCCTGTTGGGGAGAGGCTTTTTATTGGTTTTGTTTGCATAAGAATTCAGGTAAAAGCTCATTACTCATTGCTAGGAAGTAAGGATCAAACAATAGATAACAAGGAAGTCTGAGGGCCTATTTTGAGTCAGGGTCAAAGAGCTGTAAAACTTTAAAGAACAAACTTACTTCTTCCTTGGACCCTTATCATTCAACTGAGAGCATTCTAAATAAAGCAGGTTTCACAGGATTTTACATATTCTTTCTTAGGCCTGATCACCTGGGGAATCCGCCCTTTTCAGCACAGGGCTGCACCACCCTGTCATTGTTTCAGGCTTAGGTGGAGCAGGGGAACTAAGGCAACCAAAAGATAAGGAGATTTTCTCCCAGACGATGAGGACTCCAGCTATGTCAAAGCCGAGGAGCGAGGGTCCATCACCCCCTTTTGCTGTAGCCCTCAAAGTCCTCTCTTGGGAGCCTCCCACATGATCGTGCCTGTCTTAAGTTTTTCCCCCCTTGGGGAATCTTACCTGTCATTGGCTAACCGACCAAGCTTTGGGGTTCAGTTATGAATGAAGCAGCAGAAGCAGCACTTCTGCCAGGGAGACAAGCCTTTGTCTCCTTGCTGGCTCATGGTCCAAGGCCCCTCCCTCAGCCTTAGCCTTGGTGGGGGTTACAGCTTCTGATATCAGGCAGGGCAGTTCCCAACATTGGAGATGCAAATTCATTACATCAGCATATCCTTCATATAAAGACATAGAGCCCATGAACTTAAAACTTTCTAAGGATAGTTTTGGGTGGTTATTCCAGTTAATTTAGTAAGTACTTCCTGAAGACAAACTATGAGGTGTTTATTGAGAGCTAGTAATGCCAACACAGCTGGCATAGAGGAGAATGGAGACTTCTGAGTCGGACTAGATTCGAGTTCTGGCTCTGCCACTTGGAACTTTGAGACCTCAGGTAAAAATGCAGAAATGTTTGGTGCCTCATAGTCTTCCTCCACAACGTGGGGTAGCAATGCCTCATAGGGTGGAGGTGAAGAGTGCGAGAGAGAGCATGTAGGGAGCGTGGTAGCACAGTGTGTGGAACCAAGGAGCTCCGTGCAAGCGTTCGCTGGTATTCAACCTCAGGCGCTCCCTGCAGAGAGCGCGCAGGCGGACAGGGCGATGTGGGCGGATCGGAACATCTCAGGGTGTGAGGTCTTTCACAGGAGTGTGAACACAGTCCTCGGGAACGACAGACCCTGGGGAAGGAGAGGGAGGAGGCGACAGTGACCGAGGTGTGAGACGGACGGCCTTCCACACGGAGGAGGGGCAGCAGGAGCCGGTGCAAGGAGGTGGGAGCCTGCGGGATACTTTCAGAGAAGCTGCGTCACTCCGTGTAGGAGAACTGGGAAGTCGTTCTGTCTTCTGCTGGTGTTGGTTCAGTACGTTAGAGAATCTTTGCGTACTATTCCTGGCTCCCTGTTAGGGGTGCACTTACGGGTATTTAAACGAAAATCAATTTTGAGAGTCATTTATTGAGCACCCATGGGTCTTTTGCATGTATGATTTCATTTACTTCAAAAAACCCAAGGAAAAGAACTGTTATCCCACCTTAACAAGTGAGGAAACTGAGGCTCGGGGAAGTGATGTGGCCCATCCAAGTGCACACCATCAGGAATAGATGGAACTGAGGTGCAAACCCCACCTTGACTCATGAACTTCAAGGCTGTGCTTGACCCCCCTGCCTCTACTGAAGCACTTTACTTCTGTGGGCCCCCTGCCTTGTCCCCCCCCCCGCCAGGTTCCTCCATGTCCTTGACCTTGAAGATCATGGGTTTAACAATCAGACGGGTCTCTCTCTTCCTCCCATCCTGATCTTCCAAAACTTTCTCTCCCATTTCACACCAGAGAGCTTCCCCACCCAAAACACAGAGATGGGCAGCAGGAGGGTAGGCTGCCTTCCTCAGGCAAAAAGACTCACCTGTCCCCTGTATCTGTGTGGATCTACGGCGAATCCCTGTGATGTAAGGGAGAATGTATAGAAATCCATAGACATCCAGGTAACATGACTTATTTATGCTCACACGGAAAGTTAAGGCAAAAGAAGGACCCTGTGTCAAGTCTGTTAACACCACGGTTAGGAACTGACCTATTTCTGAGTTTGTCTCTTTGACGGTGAGCACTCACGTCATTGTCGTCCGCTCAACATCCCATACATGCCGCGTCTTGGCAAGTTGAGCCCCCATTTGCTGCCGCTCCAGTGACCTAAAGAACTCTTACTCTGTCTAGAAACATTACCTTAGGGATGAGTTGTTTAACTCCCATTCCCTCCATAACAGCAGTGCGCACACACTACCAGAAATGGCAAACAAAAGATGACAGGGATGCAGGGAGGGGGATGGGTTGGAGGAAGTATTTAAGCATCCTTCAGGAGAAGAGAAACAAAACTTAATCTTCTTTTTATACCAAAGGGAGCACACGCTCTTCATTACCCGGGCTGGGGTGGGGACCACATGTATAAGCCTGTTATTCCAGCGAGGCCCTGTTTCATCCAGGATGGGTGGGTGTGGGCATCCACAGAAGAGTGGGAGGAGGGGAGGGAGCGTGAATGGGAATGGGGTGTGTGGGGAACCAGACTGTTTTCATAGTCCAAAGTCACAGCCAGGACTCCTCAGCAATCCCGCTGATAAACACACCCTAACTGCCGACGAAGAATCGAAAAAAGAACTAAAGCACCCCTTGATGGCAAACCAGAACCTGTTAGCTGGAAGTGTTGACACCAGGGTCACTGGCAAATGTTTCCTCGTGGGCAGCAGGGGTGCCGGTGAAGTGCCTTGTGCGCCCAGACAGATAGGAGCCAGTCAGGAGCCAGTCCCACCAGTTAATGGAGTGCTCCTGAGGAGTAGCTGCCCGTCTAGCAGAATTTCTAAAACAAGCTGCAGCTGCGCCAGCTAAGGCCCCTGGGAAGTGGGGGCAAACTCTCTCCAGCAGCAGGAAAGCAGGATGTGAGGCATTGCCATGGCTACCCAGCCAAGCCAGCCTCAAAGACTTTCAGGAATCTCTGCTATTTGTGCGAACCAGATAGCTTCCCCCAAAGGCCGGAATTCCTACACTCTCCTGCTGTCCCGCTCCACTTTCCCTCACTCCAAACAAAAAGGCAGGAGAGGACCCTTCCTCTCTACTTGTGCTGGGGACCCGCACAGATGCTCAGCTGGAACGCCTCCCTCAGATGCTCAGCATAACGGAGGCAGGCCAGCGACTTCCATTTGCCACAAATCCCGTATATTCACTCACAGGTCACAACGTGGGCTGATGTTAGTGTGCTCTTAAACTCCCAATGGGACTGGAGGGAAAACTAGACCCTCATTGATGTGAATGATGTGCCAATTAGGACTCAAGTCTCTCTTCTCTGGCTTTCCTGTGTTCTGTTTTCCCAACATGATCTCAGAGGGAGGTGAGCGACAGGGTCGTTTAATCGCTATTATATATTTGCCACGGAGACACCCAGCCACTTCACATTGGGGCCAGCGGGGGATGTTAGTTCTGCGGGGTTTTTTTTCTTTCCAGAAAATAAGCGAAATGTGTAGATCAATTTAATAAGGTTATGTTTTGGAAAACTATAGAAAGTAAATTAAAACTAGCTTCAATTCCTATTAAAACCAGGCTTTCGCGACCAAGAAACAAGTAAAAAATACCCAAAAAATAGTCTGTGAGGTTTTTTTGTTCAGATGGTCCCCAACGCCATCTGTTTGTGCACATGTATTTCATATTTGTGATTTCTGGCCAGCACATCTTCATTACTCCAGAAGAGATGCAACCTTATTCTCGGGGTGATGACGTCTCCACACTGACTCCTCCTACAACCTCTATCCAAATAGGAGCGTCTGGTGGGAGGGAACCGCTAGATACAGCATGCCGACTGCTTAGACTCAGGATGGGCATCTGACCTACAATGGACCAAGCAGGGCTCTTCCCTGTGACTCTCAGAATAGAATCAAAAGGAAAAAGACCCTTTCGGGTGGGAAGCTGAGAGAGTGATTCCTGGAGCTGCGGGAGGCTGTGGTTCCGGCCTTTGAGGAAAGCATGTGTCTGAAGGAATGGAGATGACTTGCAGAAGCAAAGCAAAGACATGGTAGAGAGAAGGACCCCTGCGGACATTCAAGCCCTTGGTTTGAGGTGGTTGTGGCAGAGCCACAGTAATCGGCTCCAATAAATTATGTTTCCTTGTACACACGACCTGGCGCAGTCCCCTCCCACACCGATTTGGGTCTCGGCCACGTGACTTGAGTTGGCCCGTGGGGCATCAGCAAATGTGATGGAAGCAGAGACTTGGAAAGTACTTATGCGTTGGGAGCTGCCCTTCCTCTCGCTGCTCTTAGAACATCATTACCAGAAGCAGCCCAGGCTCAGCTGCTGGAGAAAAGCAGTCCGGCCAATAGCCAGCTCCATTTGCCAGACATGCATGAAAGACCACCATACTCCATTTGGCCCCCATTATGCCACATGATGGACACCAGAGATCAATAGATGAACTGTCAAGCTCAGTCCAGCCCAAACGATGACTCACAGAGTCATGAGCAAGTAAAAGGGCGGTGGTTTATCTCACCAAGTGTTAGAGTTACCTTCTTCCCATGGGAGCAGGGAGGTCTCCCCAGCAAGTTGTTCACTGTTGGGTAAAAAACCAGAGACAGCCTTTGACCATGTCATCAGCGCTCTAGGAGGTCATCACATTCAAAACCAATCATTCCCTCAGGGGAACCCATTCAGAAACCAGGTATAAGACAGACACTTGACTATAGTTTTTTTTTTTTTTTTTTAGTTCATTGTTTCAGATAAGGAATCCACATCCATGATTAAAAGATGCAAACAATATACAAGAGGGTATTATGAAAAATTATTCTTTTCCCTGCCTCTGGCCCTTAGATCCCTATTCAGAGGCAACCATGCTTACCAGCTTTTTGGATAAACTTCCAGAAATATTCTATACAGGAAAAAAATTAAGGCAAAAAAGCAAGAATATAGATAGATATTACATAGCTATAGATATAGATATAAGACATATATAGGTTATATGTAATATATATAATCTTTGTTTTCTGCAAAATGTAATATCACAACACAGAGGGAAACTTGCTAATGAGAGACCTTAATAATCTATAATGTCCCATGTAGGGGAAGGTGGAGAGTTTTGATGATATGATCTGCAATGTAAAAGAATCTTATCCTGTATTTCTTGTGTCTCCGGCTAAACACACACACACTCTCTTGATGACTGTATCCACGTGGGCACACACATGCATGTATGTCTGCCTTGCTCTGCACACAAATGTGACCATGTCCATCTTCAGGGATCATGTTCTTTATCACACCAACCTGGTTACGCCATCCTAGACGGGACTTGCAGGTGCTGGGATGGACTGCCTCTGGAAGGCCTGGTGCTGGAGACCGGCTCCCTGCTCACCTCTCTCATGCTCAAGTCTGTGCTCAGTTTTTGGAGAGACTCACACTTGATGTTGCTCAAGCCTTAAGAACTCAGTTTCCCAGATATGTCCCTCCTCCTCCTGCACTCCTGACGCCCACTGACAAGCAGCCTGTGGGGTCTCGGTCCATCACCCCCTATTGTACAGATGAGGGAAAGGGGGCCCAGTCTTAGGCTCAGGAGGCCCCAGAGGAACACGGACACTGTATAGTCTGGAATTTGTTCTCCAGCACTAGCTCAGGCAGAGTGAGCTGCATGGTCTAACGCAGTCATAGGCTTGAACCTTGGCTTCTCTACATAACAGCTGTTGTTCTCTTGGTTCTGGAGCCTTGGTTTCAGCACCTGAAAAGTGGGGTGATAATAGTTACATATAGAATAATTCAAATTATAAAAATATATGCAGAACACAAAATCATGTATATTGTCCAAATAATAATAATTTTCAAAATTTTAAGTTGCATACCTGTGTATCTTAAAGAGATTCACCCAGAGAGCTCTGGTCTTCTTTCTTATGTCTGTGTTACTAGCACATGTAGAGAAGCTCATGCATGAGGGATACACAGATCATCAAACAGTGCCTTTGTCCTCCAGAGGAGGAAGGTGCGACAGAGACAGACAGCCCCCCAACCGCCACTGCTCCCTGAGGGCTCCCTTCGGGGAGCTACACAAGAAACTCTAGGGACAGAGAACACTGATCTACCTGATGTGGACAACAGAAAGGGCAGAGCCAGGCCCAAGGTGGGTGAGACTGCTGGACCAAAGCCAGTCGTGGGCTCAAATGGAAACATACATTTCCTGGCACATTTCCTCAGTCATGTTCAGGGGTGGTCGTTACTCGACACCACCCCAGCTTCTCTCCAGAATTTTCCAAATACTATAGCCAGTGCCGTGGCCACTTTTAGTTCTAAGCTTTGAAGCACACAGGAACACAAGAGTCCCCCCCTCTGCACCCAGGCATGTCCTTCCACCTCTAGCTGACCTCTAGATGAAGTCTCAGAGAGACAAGTCTCTGAGGATCAATTGTGGAGCACACGGTTTGGCAACAGGGCAGGGGATCTTTCCTGACTTGTGCAGATAGGGGCTTACATCACAGCAGGAAATTTGTTTACCCTTATCTTAGCACACAAGAACAAATTATCCCGCCCCTGTTATAAATCCAGCAGTCCTGCATCTACGGCTGGATTTCCGCATAAATCTCCAGCAAACTCTACTTGGCTGACTGTGTACTTTTGCTGGCCTCCTGCGCCAGGATTCAAGCTCACGGAACTGTCAGTGTCGTTGAAGGACTCGCTGGCTTTCACCTGCACAGATAATGGAAAAAAAGAAGGAGAGCTTCCAGGGCCGTGGCTGCCACAGAAACCTCACCGTCCAGGGCATGGATCCCGGGTGTCCTCTCCCCCAGCTGTGTCACCGTGGCTCCATCGGCCAGAAGGAACCACCAAGTCCCAGGGAGATCTGCCCTGGACAGCCCGGGGCACCAGAACTTTGGTCTCAGGGCCTCTTGTAGACTCGCCGAGTTCAGGATGGTTAGTACACACAGATAATCCTGAGCGGGGTGAGGAACCAGGCCAAGTGGGTTTTATAAATGGATTCAGTAGCCACTTACCATATTTTTCAGACCATAAGACGCACCTAGTTTTTAGAGAAGGAAAATAGGAAAAAAAAAATTTTGGAGCAAAAAATGTGGTAAAATATTTAATAACATAAATAACATAATATTTCACTAATGTATATGTAAACAGAACTTAACAGCAGCATTAACAACCATTATTCCTCCCAAATGGGTGTGGGGGGGTATGTCTTATAGTTTGAAAAATACAGTAAATAACTGGGATCAGGCAGAAGAAGGGAAACCCTGCATACAACTAACATAATGTAACCAGTGAAGTAAACATCATTGGCCAGGATGCCTAGGCTTCAACAACAGGGATGGGCTAGGGTATTTTTTTTTTAATCATTGACAATAACAAGGATGCCTACGGAGCCCTTACCTTGCTATGCTAGGCTCCACCGAGCCCAGGCTCCACGGACTGCTTTCATCCAGCCTTACCCCACCAGGTATACTTTACCTCCACGTGCTCACAATATCCTGGAGAGGGGGCTACTGTTAAGATGAGGACACTGAAGCACACAGAGAGAGGTTCAGTGATTTGCCCAACATGGCACAGATAAATGAGACAGTGCTTGATTAATAGAGGTGGTTAGGCTTCAGGACCTACGTTCTAAATCAGTGCTTCCTGAGCATTAATGCACAAGAATCTCCTGGTGATCTGGCGAAAGTGCAGATTCCAATTCAGAGGTGGGAGATGGGACATGGATTTCCTGAGATGCTGCATTTCCAGCAAGCCCAGCTCCCGGGTGAGGCCCACGCTGCCAGTTCAGAGCTCACAGCTGCAGATGCAGGTGTCAGTCTGGCCCAGCCTGGTCAAGGGCAACGTGAGCACCTCTGTCTGTGCACCAACAGCTTGTTACCTATCCACAGAGCAAGAACAAATATCGGGAGTGGGCCGCTAGAGACTTTATAACTATTTGACAGTTATTTCATATCTGCCGAATCTACGACCAATAATGAACATGGGGCTTGTACCTCATTTTGTTATTTTTACTTTCTTCTTCTAGTAACTTATATCTATGTTATTTTACAAAGTTATCAGTTCACCAAAAGTTGGAAATGATACATAAAACAAACAAAACAAGACAGACTGCCTGGTCCCTCCCCACAGAGCACGTGAAGCTCACTTCTCTAAACTTCTGCACTCTACTGGCTACCCACAGATGGGGAGTCTAGGGTCCTGGGTATGTGCATGTGGGGGATGCCCCTACCTCAATTCCCATTTCCTGGAGGTTCTACTTCCTTATATTTTAGGGTCTTCTTGCATATCTAGCCCCAAGAGCAGGTAGAGACTGCCATCCATAAAACTCAAGTAATACTCATGCTGGTTTGCCCCTTCCAACCAAGTCTCAGAACCTCCGCCTAGTCACTCAGCCTCTCAGAGGCCCCCTCCCTTTCCTCTGCAGACTAAAGCCCATCCACTGCGTGAAAATGGGGATGAAATTATAAGCATGCAAAGGGCTTAGCACAACACCTGGAACAATCACTGATCAATCAATAAAGAGCCAGTACAATTGTCACAGGGGGGCACAGGTAACCAGGTTCTTGGTGATCGGGACAAAGAATTGAAATGAATACACAGAGTTTGTGGCAGAGAACATGGGAACAGGCCAATTCAAAGTGGAGATTGACCTCATGGGCTGGAGGGATTTTATTCTTACAGGGCAGATCCTTCCTGGCTAGTTTTGACTGGCTTTTATTGTGCCTGTACAAGTAGTTGTATTACTTTAAAGCTACTGCACATGTGGTCTCCCATGATTTTCCCTGATTGGCCACTGGAGAAGGAGGTCCCACAATGTTACCGAATGGAGCCCCTCTTCTCCTGGGGTCCCCCTGTACTAGGTTTGCCTTGCCTACCACCAGGGAATTATAGCTTTCCATGTCAGAGATTGGTGAAAAGGAAAGGAATTATTTATTCAAAAGTTATACAGACTTAAGAGTAATGACTTAAGGTCTTCATTAAAATCCCAAAGTCCCTTAAAACACCCACAAACACACACAGTCCTTCCTTCCCCCCTTTGCCCGGTCTGAGATACCATATCTCAGGAAAAGAAATGGAAGTCTGTGGCTCAGGTAGCTCCTGGTTCTTCCCAGCAATCCGTGCTTGGCTGGCAGCCCTCCCTTGGTTCCCAGCATACTCAGCTGTGTCGCCACCATGATCTCCAGTTCTTAGTCCAAAACGGACTAAGCACCTTCTTGCTGGTGTGGCACCTTCTCCTGGCCCACCAGCAAGAGTCCTTTCACCCCTTTCCTTCCCACAGCGTCTCTGCGGCGTCTCTCCTGCATTCTTCCAAACTGCTAAGAAAGGGTGCTGCATCGCTGCTACATCTTGCTTTCTGGCTTCCTAAGCCACGTGGGGATTCTCATCACAGCTGCCGCACCTGGGTTTAAATCCCACTGCCAATCTTCCTCTGCAGCCCCATTTCTGACTCTTCTCACAATTGGCTACACTTGGCCAACATTCCCGTATTTTCCCAGCTTTTCTGGGCTGCCACAGTAAGTCCAGGCAGGTGTGGCCCTGTGGCGTGGAACCAATCATCTCCAAGCTGTTTCACAGGCTCTGTAACCTGGGGGAGTTGCCTCCCAGTTACATCCTGGGTGGAAGTCACTCCCATCCCCCTGGCTCAAAGCAGGGCCACAGCTACTTAACATATCTATGAAACCAGTTAAAGGTTATAGATATGTTAAATGACTGTTCTAGAGGTTATCTGAAAAACTGTTGCTTTGCAAAACAACTCTCAATGGCCCTGCTCCATGTGTCCCAACCCCCAGTTCAGACTTGTGGGGGTGAGGACTTCCCATATTTTTAATATTTCCTGGACACCCTGAGTTGTGAACCCCATTACAAATCTTTCTTTTCAGGGCCCCCTGGCTGTACCCCCTTACACAATTATTATTGGGGAAAAAAAATCTGCAAAATATCCCTATCAGGTATTCATGGTCTCCATCAACACTAGAGGGAAAAATTTCAAGAAAATGTTCCTGACACTCTTCTAGGCACTGGGAAGGCAAGCTATTGTGCATCTCTCAAAAAATGTATATTAAATTAATTTCTTCTTCAACTTGGAACAGTCGGAGCCCAATTTTTTACAAAAGTCTACAACTACAGTGAAATTTTAATTTAAACCACTAGGCAGAATAGTGCCCCAAGGCGCTGCAAGATGTCTGATCATCGAGCAAAAATGTAATTATGTTCATTCTGCTCCAGAAACTTAGGCAGGTGGGCGAACTAACAGAGTTTAGAAAGATTTTCAATAACAAGGGATGAAACAAGGCAGGTTTTGCTTAAGCTTCAGTTAAACAGAAATCCAGTTAACCGGAGACCTTTCAGGGAAGTGCTCCTAGTTAAGGCTGTTAGATTCTTCCTGCAAGTCATTTACATAAAGACTCAGGAGGCAGGACCCCCTGGGGCCTGTGGACCATGGGAGGGAAGGGGCTGAGGTCAGTGTTAGGGAATGTTCGAATGTTTGTCTAGTTGGTCATGACTTGGGCAGGAATGCCCAAGGGTACTAGGGTACTAGGTGGGGGAAACTGACCCGGTGGGAATGGGAATCTTTCTGACCTTGCCAAGAGGGCAGACTTCCTCCGGCTTAGGTTGGCGCTGTGTTCCAGGGCCTGCAGGGATGTAGTGACTCGGCACAGCACACGGCAATCCAATTTCTTTATCTTGCTTGGCAGGTCCCCAAAGACCTAATGACTCGGACCCTCCCGCTGTAATGCATTCACTTGTCAGATTAGCAGAGGTTCCTAAGTTGTTTCTTTTTCCTTCTCCCTGGGCTATCCTGAGATAAAAGTTCAGGTTCCTTTCCCCAGCAGGGCTTTCTTCTGCCAGTCTGGTTCTGCAATCAGTATGAGCGAGCTAAACTCTAAGAAACCTGGCTGGAACCATTGGGGTAGCTGCTCTGGGTGAAGCGTGCCTCACTTAGAGGAGAAGGAGGAAAAAGAAACCGTTATGGCTGCATTTGGGCTACCAAGAAGCTCCTTCCTGTGGTTTGTGACATCTGTGTGACAAAGAGTGGCTGGGGACAAGGTGCCGTATCTGGGGGTTGGGGGTTGGTTTACACTCAAATCTGCCCAGGTCCATATCCTGTTGGCTGGCTGACTTACCGGCTCCCTGATAGGGACAAGTCACTTTTGACATTTCGTTTTCCCCAGCTATAAAATGGGTGTAAGGATAACAACAAAACCCGCCCTGAAAGCTTGTGAGGAGGGTCAGCCAGGTAATGATGACAAATAGTTAGCACAGTACCTGGCCCAGAATAAATCCTCTACTATCTCAGAGACAAGGCCTCATCTATTTGCTGGTTTACAGCAAAGAGTAGTATAATCTGCTACCCCAGTATAGGCACTTGGGCACAGAATTACTTTGAATGGAAGGCAATTAAGAAGCAGCAGATATTAGAAAAGCTCTCTGCCCTCGCCTGGTCTACTTGAAAACAGAACATAAACTCCCCCTGGTTAAGGTGTCCCCTACCACACTGCCTGCACCAGGAAGGGGACAACAGCTTTATCATGAGAGACGAGGTGGCCTGAGAGAGTTCTGTATACGCAAGCCTTACTGCAAACTTTACTGACTGGCCCTTACCTACTGTTCCTCTCCCCGTATATTGGCCTTCTCACAATCGACCACCAGTAGAAGCTCAAAGTCCTTTTCTTTTGTCCTGCCACTTCTCTACAAAAGCATTGTTCTTTGCTGAGATGCCACATTTATATGCCACACATATTTAGGGAACTTCATCATTCATTTTCCCATCTGTCAACTGAGAGCAATCCTACACCATGAGAGCTATGGTGAGGGTGGGTACAGACGACCCACCAACAGCCCTTACATGTTCTCATTGAACTACGATTTGTTGAGCCTAGCATGTGTCCGAGCACCATTGTAGGAGCTGGGGACGCCTCCACGAACAAACAGGGACCCCTGACTTCGTAGAGCTTGTAATCTATTTGGGAGAGATGATAAACAACAGTGAAGTAATAAGTTATGGAGAATATTAAAGATGA